GCACAGGAGGCACAGAGGAGCGTGGCGGGTAGAAAGCTGGAGCGCGGCAGGGAGCAGGTGAAGACAGAGGCGTGGCTACAGTGAGGAGCTTTTAGGCAGAGCAGCAGAGAGGAAGGGACCTCGAGTCGAAGACGCGCTGGCTTGGAAGAATTCCACCCTAGGGTTCGAGCGCAACAACTCGCGAGAGAAGAAGGGGATCGGGTTCGGCTAGGGCTTTGCTTGGGAAGCAGGGCGAGTTGCGTATGGGTCGCGAACGAGAGAAAGAGAGGGGACGAGAGGCCGTGCGTGAATTTAGGGGTTAGGGATTTAAGTGAAAAGAATTATTATTTTTTTAATTAATATTGAACATCCCTCGATTTGTGTGCTATTTTCTCGCGCATGAAACTACAACAAAGTGAGCGTCCTTCCTAGGTAAAATCTACGTTCTGGACCCGACGACACAATCCGTTTCGTCATTCGAAGTCGTTCGGACAACCTCATCGATGATTGAGTAAAAAAAAACGTGTCAAATTTGGTTTTCTTCAAATTTCGAGCTCTCGATCGATCGTTTCAAAAAAACGTGTCAAATTTGAAATTGACATTTTGATGGTCAGGTATGAATAAGGATGTTGTTGAGTGTGCATCTTAATGTCAAGCATGCTAGATTGTAAAGGCTGAGTATTAGAGACCCAACAGACTGCTACAATCTTTACCGATGCCTGAATGAAAATGTGAATATTTTGCTGACTTTTATTATTGGATTTCTTTGTTCAAGACGATCATAATAGTATTTGGGTCATTATTGACATATTAACCAAGTCAGCTCACTTTTTGCTTATCAGACAAACAAATTCATTGGATAAGCTGCTCAAATTGTATGTAAAAGAAATTATTAGATTGCATAGTATTTCAAAAGTTATAGTTTCTGACAGAGATGAAATATTCACGTCCAAGTTGTGGAAAGACATTTAACAACGTATGGCTACGTAGTTACATTTCATCACTGTTTACATCCATAAATTGGCAGAAAATCATAGTACAATTCAAGTATTAGAAGTCCTGTTAAGGCTTTGTGTCCTTGACTTTGGAGGCAGTTATCACATCCTAATGATCGAGTTTGTTTACAACAATAGCTATCACTCTAGTATCAAATTGGCTCCTTATGAAACACTGTATGACGGAAATTGCAGTACTCCACTCAATTTGGCTGAAGTTGGTGAACGTCAAATGTTAGGTCTTGAGCTTGTTGATAAAACCACATAGAAAATCAGTTTAATTAGCGATAGATTGAAAGTTGTTGATGATCGATAGCAGAAATACTAATCCCAAAGCACAAAGCAGTCAAATTTGAAGTTGGAGATTTCATATTTTTAAAAGTCAGGCCAACGAAAGGTACAACTAGATTTGGTTAAGGAAGCAAGCTGAGTCTCAAGTATAGTGGTCCTTTCGAAATTATAGAAAAGGTCATTCTAGTTGCCTACAGATTAGTGTTACCCGCAGAAGTCAGATATTCATGGTGTGTTTCATATTTTAATGCGAAGAAAATGATTTTCAAATTCAGAGCAGAGAATTTCATATGAAGGTATTGAAGTACATAAAAATCTAACATATATTGAAGAGCCTGAAAAGATTTTAGCAACTGATATTAAGAAGCTCATAAACTAATAGATTCCTTTTGTGAAGATAAAGTGGAAGAATATGGCTGAAAAGAAAGCTACTTGGGAAAAAGAAGTCACGCTACAAAAATATCCCTTCTTATTCCAGTAAAATTAGAAATTTCGAGGATAAAATTTTTTGTAAGGAGGGGAGAGCTGTAACGCCCAAAATTTCAAGAAACTAGGTAAAGTTTAACACATTTGAAAACTATTCAGATAAGTGTTACCCGTGGAAGTCAGATATTCATGGTGTGTTTCATATTTTAATGCGAAGAAAATGATTTTCAAATTCAGAGCAGAGAATTTCATATGAAGGTATTGAAGTACATAAAAATCTAACATATATTGAAGATCCTGAAAAGATTTTAGCAACTGATATTAAAAAGCTCATGAACAAACATATTCCTTTTGTGAAGATAAAGTGGAAGCACATGGCTGAAAAGAAAGCCACTTGGGAAAAAGAAGTCACGCTACAAAAATATCCCTTCTTATTCCAGTAAAATTAGAAATTTCGAGGATAAAATTTTTTGTAAGGAGGGGAGAGCTGTAACGCCCAAAATTTCAAGAAACTAGGTAAAGTTTAACACATTTGAAAACTATTCAAACTTTTTCATCTCTCAGAATTCGATCAAAATAATTTTATTAAATTCTAAGCATGAAATCAATCAATTTCATATAAAGCACTATGCATGAATTGTTAACAGACTGAGAGATATGAAATTCAAAAGTTATATGTTTTTTTAACCTAAATAATCCTTAGTTATATTCCTAATTACACAATTATTGTTCTCAACTGACCTTCAATCCTTTTAGTTGTTGTCTCGGTCAATTAGGGCCTATAGATCTCTGATTTCTTTCCCTCTCTCCCGAATTTCTGCTCCCTCATTCGGTTCCCTCATGCGATAGCTTCCTCACTTGTCTGTAGGTGATCTCGCGATCTCCTATGTGATCTGCGTTGTAGCAGAGTCGCGGTCTGATGCTGGGGTGCGGCAATCGAAAACCGCAGCTCACGATTCAGGATTCGGAGGCAAATTCAAAGGGTACGAACACCTCTTTCATGTCATTTGAGGCTTTCATTTCCTTCCCCACGCTTCCGTTTATATATTTGCCTTGTTTTTGTGTTTTTATCATTTTTGGTAGCCGTTGGAGGCGCCAAAATTGTATCGGAAGCATCCGAATTAAGTTGAAAGCTTTCATATGGGGTTTAGCACGAAATCAACGAGGGGAAGGTGAAGATTAAGGTGTTAGAAAGAGTTGGGAAAAAAATTGGTATTTTTGGAAAAACAAATTTATGCCGAAAAGCCCTTCTATGGTATGTTTCGGCAAGTAAAGTACTTTTTTGAGTTTAATGCATGTTATGAGCCTAAATGCAAGTAAAGTACTTTTTTGAGTTTAATGCATGTTATGAGCCCAAACTTTATGAGTTCCCAGGTTGTCTGTACGAGGCCCACGGTCTCTCTCTACATTTCGTGGTACTGTATCAGGTATCACAGATTCATCCCAGTATTGTAGCTGAGAACGCTGTTGGATTTTCTGTGGGAAGCTCCCACGTCACCTATCAAATAGAAAACTATGACTTTTCAATAGATGTAATTCTAATCTTGTTTAACCGGTCTGGCTTAAAGCTAAAAGTTCATCAAACTAAACCATTTAGGTTACCTTACCAATTGGGTAAAGTTGTGAGACCCATAACCAAGTTTTTGTTCTTTTAGGTTGTAAGCTCTTTTATGTGCCTTCTTATACATGTTGGTCTGATCCTAATTAATTTCAGTTGACACACAGCCAACACATCAATTAAATCAAAATTTGAGCTTGCAAAGGATATAAAGCTCCATCCCTTATTAATCTTTGTCCAACTCCGAGATAATAAGCTTATCTACCTAAATCAAATCCACCAGTCAATCCGTATGTATTTTGGATAAAATTTTTCAAGTGAATTTGAAACTCATTGTAACTAATAGTCATTCAATGTTGCTGACCTTTTGTTGGTCATATTTGGCTCTTAATTACAAAACCGTGCCTTGTATTTTTGAACTTTTCAATGAAATTGGTATCGCCAACCCTTTTCCAATAATTGAGCAGACATCATTTTCGAAAGAAAGTCTTCGATACATTGTTAATTTCATATTTTCGCCCCGATCTGATTGGTACACTTAAGTAAGGCAATCCACAATTGCTAATCAGGCTCTCAGAACATTACTGCTCAAAAACGTAATTGTTTTTGGACTAGATCCATTGGTTTACCTGAGATAATGGGATTATAGATTCTTGGTTCCTTTCACATGACAATTCACTATTTACAAAAATTCACATCCAAGTATAAAGTTGAGTTTAAGCAACCTCCTTAATCAAGTGGGAGAATAATTAACTTTAAGTGCTTGCACTCATAGCAAGTCTCAACCCCAGATTTAAAAAATTCTTGGGCTTGGATCAATGAAAATTTGGTAAAAAATTAAACCTATTTACATGAAGAAAAACTACCCTTCTGTTTCTCATCACAATCAAGGAGTCTCCAAGTGAGGTGAATTTTTTTGAGTGATCATGCATGTATAATTCATAAGAAATATCTTTTTTTCCAATTGAACTTTATAGTTTCTGTGTCTTTAGCTGACTGATTTTACCTAAATTTATGCATCACCCAATAGATAGACCCAAAAGTTAATACTATTGTCTTGATACTTTTTTCATAATGAAAAGCATTGGTTTACTGCCGTTATTCACATAGCTTCATCCTATTGAAAAGCCGTGCTACTACACTTCGTAAAAGCTATTTTTTTGCATTTAGAAACTCATAGAAACCGTGCCACTACACATTGTAATTTGTTTTAGCTGATCTCTATGTGGTTACATTTAGGAACTTAATTGCTTTAATTTCCTTGCTGTTATATGATTTTTGCATCTGCCTTCTATCAGTATATTTGTATATTCCCTTTAATATTCAACATTATAATTATTGCTCTTATCTCAATTATTTGTGGTAAACTTTATGTATCCCTCTTCATTCATCCTTGATGAGTGCTTAATGTGGCAATTCATCTTTGATGAGTGCTTAATGCGGCATCATTTACAAGCCTTTTTGTACATTTTCTTTGAGCGTACATTTACTCTATTTCTGTTCTTTCTATTAATTCAATGCCCCCCTTGTTGTCTTATATTCTTAGTTGTTCATGCCCAAGCTACATAACTTGTTTTGCACAACCTTATCTTTCATTGCTGCTTCTCCTATTTTTCATTATAAGGCCTAAACTTTCTAGTGTTTAACTAGAAAAATTAAGTGAATTTTAAAATTTTGAAAATTTGGACTTTTTAGATATGTGCTCGTCTTGTTTGAGTGTTTGACATGAATGCTTTCTCTTTTGGATCCAGGTATAAAACTGAGAATGGTGAAAAGCTTGAGCCTATAGAGGAAGTGACGATTGAGGTATAAGAAGATTTCATCTTGTCTATACATTAGAAAGGAGAAAAATGTCAAAATAGTCCCTTGTCTCTTTGCAAGGGGTCATTTAGTCCCAGGTTCTATTAAAGTTACAATTTAGTTCCCGGACTTTTTTAATATTGGATGAATAGTCCCCACAAAGGATTATTTCAACATCAATTTAAAGAGTCTGGAGACTAATTTGACACTTTTATACAGTCTGGTACTAAAATAATCCTATGTCAACAGTCAGGGGACTATTTTGACACTTCACTTCGTTAGAAAATTTCTTTTATTTTTTTGTTTTTTAAATTGACTGAATTGTCATTTCAGGTGAATGAAGAGCATGTTGGCCTTGTCATGGAAGCCCTTTCACATAGGAGAGGTGAGGTGGCTGACATGGGTCCTGTACCAGGGAATGTCGGTAGGACCAGAATGTCACTTACATGCCCATCTAGGTTGGTAATTCTATTCTTCTGTATTTTCGTTCCATCAGCTGAATCTTTAGACGTTCTTATTGTTTGGCCATTTATAGTTATTATTAGCTAGCTTTATCCTATTTTTATTTTAGTGGATAAAGATAATGCATCATTTTATTTCTTATTTGCATATTCTTAGTTTGAGTTTTGCTTGTTTTTAAGGAAATTGCATTTTCCATTTTCACCATTTCAGGGTGATTCCCATGACATTTTTTGAACCATTAGAATCATGATACCTCTTTTCTAATTATCATACATAATTCCATATATCTAATGAATGGTAACCTCCTTAAAATTTTAGGTTATCTTGTCTATTTGTTTTTTTTTAATATTTCAAAAGAGCTGGTAATTGGTGCTAATGAATATGTGGGTATCATTCAATAATGGCTTTCTAAAACTTCTCAGCCCTTTTGGTGTGACTTATATAGGGGCTTGGTTGGATATAGAAGTGTATTCAGCACCGATACACGTGGAAGTGGATTTATGCATCGTGCTTTTTTAAGTAAGTTGTTCTGTTAATTATAATGACTTCCTATTCTATAACCAATATTTTCTCTGTTGTAATTTTTCCCACGCCTTTACTTATTATTTTCATTTGTAAAACAATTTTCAGAATTTCATGCAATGCTTTTCTTCTTTTTCATTTAATTTCTTAACTATTCCCCTCCGTATGCCATACATTTGGCGGAGCCTTATAGGCTAAGATCCGCCCCTTATTTCAGTCTGTCAAATGGCAATTAGCACCCCTGCAAATATCCAAATGTGGAAAAAATGACTATAGGAAATAATCATTTTAAGTATGTAGGCATCTTTTTACTTAAATGC